AAACTAAATTACATTAATGTAAACATTAATATATACATTGTTTGATATTGTTCAGTTGCTTCTGTATCTTCAGAGGTAGTAATATTTTCTTTTTACATAGGCCAACACCATGAAAACATTTCGAGTCTGCTTCACTGAAGATTTGAGCTTTAGTTAACAACAACGATCCATATGTTTTTATCATTTGAATTAATTTAATTAATTATGACAGATCCATAGTTTGTGGTTTTGGCATACCCCCATAGTACGGTTTGGAAGCTATGTATTACAGTATGTGTGGTTTGAGATGCAATACCGGAATTATTAATTTGTATGTAAACTATTGTCGTTTAAGCTTTCTACCGACCAGACGTTATAGGCAAGTTAAAGGCGTGATGAGCTATATAGGTCAACATTACTCGCACTCATTACTCATGTTGATATCTGTGTATCGACTTTATATATACCTAAGTAAAAGCTTTATTCACTATGATATTTTATAAAATAAGTGATGTTGGTATCTAAATTAGGCCTCTACAAAACTAATTTTCATGTCTATTTATTTGTTCAGTTGCTGGTACTGCCTTGATGTAAACTCTCCGTAGACAAATAGGCCTATCCACATGTGGACTAATACAACGGAAGATATTACAACTGCCAAACAACCAGAAATTCCATGTCAGGCATCGCAGCACGTTGTTTTCCTAAAAACTCACAAAACTGGAAGCTCTACCACTACATCAATTCTTCAGCGATTTGGTTTCCTATAAGAAACTTAACATTTGCTGTACCCCAAAAAGGCGGGCATGTGTTAAGTGAAAACAGTTTGTTTAACAGAAAGCAAGTTCTTCCTGGAGTATACGATATGATAGCAGGGGCGGATTTAGAGGGGGGGCTAAACAGGCTTTAGCCCCCCCCCCCCCTAAAATTTCATAGCCATTTCTTTTTAACTACTTTTTGAAGGTCCAAATTAAAATATTGTTTAATGTTTTCTTCCCACACATCATATTTATGGGCTAAACATTTTACAGTAGTTGTTTTTCAGTGATAAAATAAAAATGAAATACGTTTTGTTAACCGATCAGCGGACAAAAAACGTAGCTAAGAAAGCTGCTTTTTGCCTTGCCTTCATGCTCAAATCTCGAAGCAAAGGCCTTTGTGTAGCGGTCTCAACGTTTGTATAATACACTAAACTTTTCGTGTCGCGTGGGTTTGTTCTTGTCTAGTCTTTCCTTGATTGCTTGCGGTCAGAGGTATTTGAATGTTTGTAAATAAACTAATAAACTAAAATGTTCGTGTCGAGCAAGTCGTTCTTGCCTAGTCTTGTCTTGATTGCTTGTGGTCAGAGCATGGGCGTCGATTAGTGGGGGACAGGGGGACGCGTCCCCCCACTTTTCAAAGTTGGGGGGACATGATATCGATTGTCCCCCCCCCCCCCACTTTTCACCAATCTTCTATAATTAAAACCCCATTTTGTAACCATATCAGAAACCCACTAGATCGATTTTATGGGTGTAACGACTATCAGAGGCTAAATTTATTGTGAAAACAATGTACTGAACG